GGCTGCCACAGGGACCACTGCAGGGGAGAGGAGAGGGGGTGAGGGTGGTGGGGACCCCCACACTGCACCCTATGGATAAACATTGCTTTTGGGATTGCTCTGGGACCTCTAAGCTGCACCTCACGCTCCAACACCTCATAAGATGGCTCTTGAGACCCCCCAAGCCACATGCCATGGGTAAACTTTGCTTTCGAGACAGTTTTGGGACTCCTAAGCTGCACTTCATGAACAAAACCCTCTTTTAAGATGGCTCTGGGATCCCTAAACTACACCCCATAGATAAACCTCACTCTTGGGATGGCTCTGAAACCCCCAAGCTGCACCCCTTGGACAAACCTCACTTTTGGGAGGATTCTTAGAACACCCAAGCCACAACCCGTCAATAAATCACCCTTTTGGGATGGCTCAGAGACCCCTAAACTGCACCCTGTACGTAGACCTCCCTTTTGGGAAAGCTCTAGGACTCCTCAGCTGCACCCCATGGACAAACCCTCCATTTAAGATGGCTCCTGGGCCCCCCAAGCTGCACCCCGTGGACAAACCCCTCTTTAGGACAGCTCTGCCCCAACCTGGCTCACCCGTGAGCTGTGTGACAGCGGTGGCCGCCAGCGCCTCGGTGGCCAGTGTCACCATGTCGTCAGAAGCCACCGTGACGATGTTGACCTCGTCGCCCTCCTCTGGCTCCAGGATCTTGATGCCTGCCTTGCCCTGGTGCACGGTCTTGACGTGCGAGCGCAAGTTGTCCACGCGGTTGAAGCCGCGGCCGCACTTGTCGCACAGGAACGGCTTCTCCCCTGGGGACGAGGTGACAAATTTGGGGGCTGCTGAAGGTTTAGGGGTGATTAAAGCTTTGCAGGGGCTGTCGGGCTGACCCACCAGTGTGGATGATGATGTGTTTGGAGAGGTCGCCCACGTTGACGAAGGCTTTGTTGCAGACGGTGCACTTGTGGGGGCGGATGTTGTCGTGGTGGCGGATGTGGTTGGCCAGTTGGCTCGACTGCACGAACCTGGAGGGGGGGGACACGCCGGTCACCCCAACTGTCCCCAGAGATGACACCCAGGCACCTCCACCCACCCAAATTCACAGGGTGACGCCCTCACCTCTTGCCGCAGCGTTCGCAGACGTAGGGCTTCTCCCCCGTGTGCTGCCGGACGTGGGCGATGAGGGAGCTCGCCTGCGTGAAGGCTTTGCCGCAGATCAAGCACTGGCACGGCTTCTCTCCTGGGGGAGGCGCATGGTGGGGTTAACAACATGGGGAGGGGGTGCCTGAGGCTCCCCAAAATCCCTTGGGGAAAGGGAGGGGTGGCAGAGCTGCGTCCCTACCGGTGTGGATGCGGACGTGGCGCTGGAGCGCCCCGGGGTCGGCGAACTGGCGCTGGCAGTGGACGCAGACGTACGGCTTCTCCCCGCTGTGGATCCGGAGGTGCCGCTTCAGGTTCCCTGAGGGGGACGAGGCTCAGCTGGGGTGAGCACAGGGACATTGACCCCCTCCCTCCTTCCCAGCGCCCTGGCAGCTCCCTTGGGAAAGCCCATTGCTATTTACAGAGCAGGGAGTGCCAGAGCCAGGGATCAGGCGACAGCGTGGTGCTGGGGACAGCCAGAACAAGCACCCAATTTTTGATGGGATGGGGAGATGCCATGGGGCTGATCCGGCCCCTCTGGCTCTGCAGCCATCGAGGGAGGTGGGAGGAGCCACTGCCATCCCCAAAATCTGGCTGAAGGGCTCCTTCCGGCTCCGATTCCTCACCTGGAGCAGTCCCCATCCCCTCCATGGACCAAAGCTCCATCACTCGCACCTCACAACCCACCCATCAATGCTACCTGAAGTGGTGAACTGTTTGCCGCACTCCCGACACTTGAGGGGCCCGTCCGCGATGTGAATCTTCAGGTGAGCCTTCAAATTCCCCACCTGGGGACAGACAGAGGGATGCAGGGAGTCCTCCACATCACCCCCACCTCCCAGCCACCTGAGGTCCGGCTTCCCATCCCCCCTCAACTCACCTGGTTGAACTTCTTGTCACAGTGGGGACATTTATGCTCCTTGTTGGTGTCGTGGGTCTCCAAGTGCCGCATTTTGGAGGTGGGGTCGGAGAAGGAGCGCCCACAGTAGTCGCACTGGTACGGTTTCTCCCCGCTGTGGACCAGCTGGTGCCGTTTGAGGTTGCCGGAGGTGGTGAAGAGCTTGCCGCAGTCGTCGCAGC